TGTTGAAGTAAAAGGACCTGTTGTATTTCATTGTGTACACTCAGGCTTCTATAACTGCATGGTCTATATTGGCCTCTAAACTCTGCTCCTGGGACCAAGTGAATTGCAGCTAAATGCATCAACATGCTGTCAGGCCTCTTTATTTACAGCACTGTTTACTACACTTAAGTGGATAAAGCAGTAAGTCAGGATTTCTAATGTCACCCTGAGCTCTGTCAGTAACAACTAGTGAACTCAGTTTTCTCCTGCTTTGATCTATTGGATGTGGACATTTCTTATCTCCCCAAAGGAGCGTGGGATGGTACTGAAGGATTGCAGTGTGTTTTCCAACAGCAATTGGATCTTTTTGTGCAGGCACCATGATGACATTGTGTTGCCCAGTTCTTCCTCAAATGCAGACTAAGGAAGGACATGATTATGTCTAATGGATGACAGCCTTGACTGTCTTCTATGTCACCCATACTTATATTTCTGTGTGAAATTGTGGGGCTGTTCCACGCTCTGGGATCTTCTTGAACTGTTTTTAGAAGTGAAATTACTTGAGGTTCATCACCTAAGTCATGAAAGATGCTTGTTCATGAACACTGCAAACCAGGAGACTTGTCCCCCTTTAACAACTCCAGCATGGCTATCTGAGTACTGCCAGACTTTTTAACATTGTCCTTTGGTTTTAGTCACAGGAACCATAGATGTCTTGGGCTCTCAATTTGCAGCTTCTTCTACTGTTAAAAGGCAGTTGCAGAAAGCAGTGTCAAAGCACACTGAGCTGTGAACTAAAGAACCTTCTCGCCTCTTTGAGAGACTCCCTCTTTGCCGACCATCTGTGCCAGCTCACCCCGGGGGTGCCAGGGCAGGCTGGGTGTGGAAGAGGTGGGTTTGCATTCAGGCACAGTGTTGGTGCTGCTATGGGCTCCCAAAAGAAGGGATGTGTCTGCTGCCCCTGCGGGATGGCAGAGCTCCAGGGCAGGAGGTGCTGCAGCCCCCACACAGCTCCCAGTGTGAGCCTTGCACTCAGTTCCCATCCAAACGGATCCAAACAGGACTGAGAGATAGTTAAGGGATGTTTTAAATTTCACACCAGTTAACACGTAGTGATGATACCCTCGCTGTGCATCACAGAAAAGTCAGGCAAAGGAAAACAGTAAAAAAAGGGAATGAGTTTGCCTTTAGTTCTCCCACTCCCCAAACAGACTTTGTGAAGCTTTGTGCGGTAATTGCCCTGCTCAGCTTGTGCTGCTGTTTCTAAACCACTTAATTGTTCCTGGTTAAATGGGTTTGGAGCAGCTGAGGAACAGATGACTGTGCCCCCATGAATTTCAAACAGGCTTCTGTGTCTTTGGCATAAGTTGCAAGAAAAAGACAAATCTGCAGAGCTGACTTCTCCCTACCTTGCCATGCCTCAGTTTGCCTTTACCTTCCAAGGATGTTTTCCCAGGCAGGTTTCTGCAAGCTGCAGCCTGAAACATGAACGTCATGCTGCATTAGCTTCTGTGCTAGTAAGCTACATAAACTCCTAGCTTGTACATTTTTGCTCTTGTATCTGGATCAAACCTCCCTTTCCTTCATTTTTTCAGGCTTTGTCCCCAAGAAACACAATCTTGTTCGCTCATGGAAACAATGCATCTTAATATGTTCACAGTAGGCTGCTGCTTCTGCTGCTGCTGTATGACTGTTGTTCCTAGGAACTAGCTTTAACTGTCAGAAATAATCACTTGGTACAGAATTTTAACAGCTGCTGTTTAAAAAAATACATCCAATTTCACAGCGTGCATTCAAAAAATCCACATATCCTTATGTTTCATTTGCTTGATAAACTGTACTGAGCTTCCTCTTAGAAAATAATTCTCCTTACTGGAAGAATGTGGCTGTGACTTAAACTGTATTTGCCATTGCATGTGTTTATGTAATGGAAAACTGCATACAAAATATATGCAAATATATTGGCAAAATTAAGGTACTTAATTGACTTCAGAATAGCTGTTCTGTATAGTCATCTGTCCCAGGGCCTTCCCAGCTCAGACATCTGAGGAAAAATATTTAGAGAAGACTTATGAATCTTATTCTGAAAGAATCTCACGTCTTTGAGCTGTAAGGTCCTTCATGTCCCCTTTCCAGTCTGATATCTGGAATTGATGGCTGTGTTTTGCCTGGCTGTGAGGGAATCTGAAGCTGCCTGCAGTGGCTCTGGAGCAGCAGTGGTGAGGGAGCATTGCTGTGGTTTGGACACATGTAGGAGAGCTGATTTCTGCTGGCTTCAAACTGTGCTGCTGCTGCTTGCCGTGCTGGAACAGGCCAGGCTGGTGGGAATTGATCAGGAGATGGGTTATGGAGGCAAAATCCAATTGGTTATTGTGATAAGCAAATAATGAGTTCTTAGGCAAAGATACCAATCACATCAGCTGATCTCCTGTGAGAGTTTGTATGCATAATGGAGATGGAAAAGACGTTGGGTTTAGTTATGCTCACATGTGATATTACATGATTTATTCTGACTCTGGACTAGAAAATGGTAAAACTTTTTATATAACAACTGTCAAGGAAAATTAGGGCTAAGCTACTTTCTTTTTAAACCTCTTGCAATAATTTTTTCTCTGAGTATTTCAGAAAGGCAATATCATTTGCAATTACATTATTCAGCCTCTAATGAAACCTGTATTTTAACTATTAGAGGACTTAAGATAAACAGTAAAAATAAGTAAAAGATAACAAATAACATTCTGGGAGCAAAGACATAGGTGTAGTTCAGCTAGGACAAGAAGAGGAGCTACTGCTGAAGGGAAACCTGGACAGTGGTGGGTATGACTGTGTAGCATGACTGGAAGATTTGTTTGATTTGTATGTGAAGAGGCATCTCATCGTTGTGGAAAAGGTAGGTTAGGCAGTTTGGCAGCAAAATGCCCTTGGGAGATAACTGAAGGGGATGGAGAACAATGAAGTGAACCTCGGTGGGTTGTTAAGTACATTTGCACTGCTCCATTTGTGAGGTCCTGCAAAGCTGTGTTCACCTTGGCTTTGAACAGGTTCCTAGAGAAAATTCATACTTTTTAATGTATACAGAGCAAAATTCAGGGGGAAATTGGAGATTGAAGAAGTACAAAGCAGATAAATAGCTCTGAGCAGAGGACATCAGTCAAGGTGGTTAATGGTTGTAAGAGGTGCTGAGCTGATTCACCCTGTAACAGCTTTTCTCCCTGACTGACACTGGCATTTGTTTTTTGCTAGAGGATGGTCATGAGATAGGAAATCTGTGGTGTTGGGTTATTTCTTTACACATCATTTATGCAAAAGTTAGCACAACTAAAGAAAGAAGCTGAGCGAGGAAGAAATATTGAATGAATTAAATAAATCTTGTTTTATAAATGTTTTCTGAAAAACATTAACTAGTTTGCTCTACACTTCTGACCCAAAGCCTTAGGAAGCTAATCAGCTTTTCCAGCATGTGCACAAGTGTTGTGCAAGTGTTTGCTCTCCTTGGCACAGTTCAAAATACCTTGAATTTTAACGTCAACTCAGAGCAAACTAAGTGAAACTAAGTGCTGGGTCAGTTGTCTGGGAAGGCACAGGGAATTATTTTTGTACCTGAGTATTAATAGGTCCATAAATTAATAGATCTCTGTAGGCAAGGAGTCTTTTGGTTTCTTTTACCTATTTTGAAAAAGCCCAAGTGTGAAGGAAAACAAGTATTTCTGGGTAAGAGATACTTCCTATCATGGTAGTAATAGATCAGCTGCATCTAGTCATGAACATCTGCTGGCATGTTTTATTGATGGCATAGGACTGATGTAAGCAGCAAGCTGTGATCTTTCTGCTGGAAGATCAGCTCCACACTCAGAGTATGTTAAATAGAGCTCTTTCCAGAGGTTTATGGATAACAGGAATATTTTGTTTGGACTGCAAGCCTCAGTCCACTGCTGCTAGATGGTCTGCACTCACTGGGGGCAGAGGGACATCCAGCAAGGGCAGGGGCCACACTGCTAAGTGTGAAGTTTGAATTTAACCTGTGGCCTGGATAATAATTCAATGACCTGTTTTATCTATTTATGACTTCCAGCCAAGCAGGCTTTCTGCACAGGTGATCCAGAGTGAAAAAGGAGTGGTATTACTCATGCTGCTTGACTTTACAAGGTCACTTATATGTGACCTTGTAAACCAGCTAATTGCTGAGTTAGAATCATGGGATAGTTGAGGTTGGAAGGGACCTCAGGGAGTCATCTGGCTCAAGCCACAGCTCCTAAAGCAGGCTGCTGCAGACCACATCCAGCTGGATTGTGAGTATCTGCAACCATGGTGACTCCATACCCTCTCTGGGCAACCTGTCCAGGGTTTGCCTGTGCTTAGGTGGAGCTCAAAAGTGTTTCAGTTTGTGCCCATTGCCTCTTATCCCATTACTGGACACTGCTGAGAAGACTCTGGCTCCCATCAGGTATTCATTACACATTGATGGGATGCAACCTGAGCCTTCCTCAGGCTGAACAATCCCAGCTCTCACAGTCTGTTCACAGAGAAGTGATTAATTGGTAAAAACTGGTTTTTCAGGGGATTGATTTTCATTTAGTTCCTAATGCTTGTCCTGCTGTCTTTTGTATTAGATGAGATTTTTTCATAAACTTAGGTCAAATTGAAAAGCTAGCTTTGGCTTGAGACTGGAAATAATGTTTTAAACGTTCAATGCGGCCTACATATATAGAGAAATTAGAGAGGAAGAGCAAGGGAAAATAGATACTGATCTTCAGGTCCTGGCCTTGCTGGAGCTGGGAGATACAGCTTAGCCTAGAAGTCATTTGCCTCAGCAAGACCAAGCATCAGGTTTGGAGCTCAACCCTGAGACTGCTCTGAAGGTCAGCATTAATCCATCCAACAAGCTCTCAGTGTCTCTGGATTGAAATTAGTAAAGGGGGGAATTGAAATGAATGGCACAGGAATAGTGGCTGCATCCATAGGGACATGAGCAAGTGTTTGCTTTTCTTTCTTTTTCAGAACATCAACTGGAAAGAAATCTCTCAAGATTGAGTCTTTTTGAGTAAAGAGAAGATAAAATGGCTTCAATGTTGCTTAGTCGACAGCTGACCTGTTGCCTGCAGCAAAACTCCAGACTGCTTGTGTTTGGTAAGAGGTTTTTTGTGTTTTCCTGCTGTGTATTTGGTAAGTGTTCCCTTCATGCTGGTGGACAGCATTCCAGTTTGATCATTGCTGGGGCTTGTCCCGTGGTGTTGAGTCTTTCAAAACTTGAAGAATATGATCTTCTGCAACTTAGATAATGCTGCAGTTGTAGTCCTAAGTGAACCACAAAGGTGCTGTGGATTTGTTTGATTTTTTTCATTCTGCAAACAAGAACTTATTAAGTTAATAATTTGCACTGTAAACACACTAACTGAAATAAAGCTCTTCAGCCCTTGGAACTCTGCTTTTACTTTCTGACACTACATAGTGCAGAGATGAAACAATCATCCATCAAAACGAGCTGGTTTTTGTCCTCATGCTGTGTAGCATGACCCTGCCTGGCTTCCCTTGTGGAGAGGTTTTGTGTGACTGGCTTGAAGAGGTGGCCCTCACTGGGGATGTGTGTTTCTGCTTGGAGTGAGCTCTAATGTGAAATAAAAACCTGCCACAAGGCATCAAAAAACTTTCTCCTAAGTGAATGGTAAGTTTTTGCTTGGTCTGGCTTGGGATTTAGCATGTGTATGGGTATATTAAACCTGCAATCTCTGGGAAGTAGATATATAAGCTATGTTCTTTTGACTTTGTTGGACAAAGCAGTACGGAGTCTTAGGATCTGGCATCCACCTCATTTGCTGTTACACGGAATACAGCATGGCTCAGTGGCTTTTTCTGTGACTGAGTAAATAAATATTGGTTTCTTGTGTCCTCCTGCCCTCTGTCTGCAGCTCCTTCTGCCACTGCCAGGCCAGCACACCCTTCCATTTGCTCAGAAAACTTAAACATCATTGATTTCCTTTTCAGTAATACACTTTGGGGAGCAACTGACCTCTGACTAAAGAACACAGAGTCTGGTCTTGTAACTATTAGAAAATATTAGGTCAGTGTTTCAGTGCAGGATGCGCTTCTATTTCTGGGAGTGACGCACTGCTGGTCCAGGCTGGGCAGGAGCAGGATCGTTTGGTCGATAGTGGGCAATGGAAAGTGCTTGCAGCAACCAGACCTCGTTAGTTGTCAGTCCTTTGAGCTAATCTGTCACCTCAGCATCACTTTGTGCTCCCTGTCCCTCCCAGTGTCTTGCACACTTGTGTGCTGCTTCCCAAGCACAAAGAGTAAAGTATTGTAGCTGTGCAGATACAGGAGGTGAGTGAAGGGCACACGCACTAACTCACTCGTCCTTTCTCACTGGTGCAGTGAGGTCGTGTAAGAAAGGAAAGCAACTCCAGGTTCTGTTAATCTCCCCTTGTTTTCAGGAAACTTCTGAGTGGGAAAACCTGCTAATATACTGAAGCAAAGAACAGGGGACTGCAGATTGTGTAACAGACCTGTAGCCTTTGGGATTGACTACTTTATGTATGAGTCCAGAGACTAGGAAAGATGGAACAAGAGGAGGACGACTCACAGAAGGAACTGTGTCCTGGCAGGTTTTCAGCCTGTGACACTCCTGGCTGAGAGAATAGGCAGGAGGCTCTCAAAAACTTGGACTTCAGGCTGTTTTCCTGGTGAGCCCCAGCTAAGGCTGCAGTGCTGCTGGGCTCTGCTGGCTTTTAGGGGAGTGCTGAGGTGCTCCAGAGTGCTTCCCTCCAGGGTATTTTTGAGCACTCAAGTTCAGAGCTTTACAGACTGAAAAAGAGACTTGTACATTACTCCCACAAAAATCCTGCAGTGCCATTTGGTCTGATCATTTTTTTTTTACTGTGGGCACTGAAATGACAGGGTTTGCAAGGGGGGGATGGGGTGGAGAGGGGGAGGGAATAGATTGCCTCTTGGTAGAAGTCTCTGTAGGCTGTCATGTTTCAGTGGTGTGTGTGCATTAAGCAAATCATCCTGTTCATCTTGAATCTGTGATAAAATTATTTACACAGAGAGGTTTTTTTGTCCTTGACTATTTCTCTGGTTGGAGAATCTTTTTTACTTAACCACTGCTTGTAGTGTTCCCATTACTCACACAGTGCTAACCCCTGGCAAGCAAACTGGAAAGGGAAAATGGAAATCATTTAAGTTGATCAAAATGCAATAGCTAAGTAAAACATAGGAGAGTAATATGCAACTGAAATCTTACTTAAAAACATGAAGCCTGGAAGTATTTGGAGTCCTTTTGGCTTCCTTAAAAATAAGCCTTAATCAGGTATTGGTTTGTTTTTATGTATTTGATCTGATTGATAGTTTGCCCTCCAAGATAAAGTTCACTAGAATTTGAAGGGTGGCAGAACAACAATAGAAAGAGTAACTAGCCTGATCTGTGTTTATAAAGACTCCTGCACATAGTTATCAGCCAGGCAGAGCCAGGAGAGGCTCTTGTCAGAGGAACGAGATGAACCTCAGCATTACATCTTACCTGAACTGAGTTCTGCTGCTCCTGCCAGCCTGGTGTGCTGCAAGGGTATCACAACTGGTAGTGTGTATGGAAATATTTATTCCCTTTGTGCCAGCTCTGGTTTTGTCAGCTGGGCCACTGTAGCAGGAAAGCTGTTCCTGTTCCATGCTTTGAGCACAGGTGAAGATGCAGTTGGTTGTTAGCTGGTAGGGCAGTACCATTGCTGTGAGGATAGGCTGGGACTCCAGAGCTCTGGGTTCAGT